TGACTGGGACAGCGGGCGTCAACGTGATTGGCTTAGTGGAAACGTCAATGAGGCTGAACAGTTCATATCTGTTCCCTTTTTACACCGCAAACCATGAGTCATACGTCAATTCCCATTTGTTTGATTTCCCAGACCACTGCTTTACACTGATAGGTATTACTCATACATCCCAGTTCTTTTTGTCTCTCAGGCCTATACTACAGTTACTTAGAATCCTTTTTTGTAGGAAACAATCCCCATAAGCGAGAAAAGACAAAGTTACACCAAAGAACCATGCTAAAGAAATTAATTCAATATATGACCCGTTTCGCTCTTCCACAAATTGATTTATTCCTTCAAATCCCAGAAGTGGGGTTGGAAAAATTCCTGGCTAAAGAGCAGATGTGTAGCTGAGAAATAGGGGCATTTTAGCTGGAGCAAAAGGGTTGTTGAGGTTCATGGAGAGAAATGGGTGAACACCACTCTGGGGAATTTGAACTCAGTTGTTTTTTGAGCTCAGAGGTCGCTGCCTTCGTCAGTTGCTATTCTGTATCCACTGCAGCACTTCTGTCGAACAATGAACATTTGTGTGAAGTGTGATGTCTCTCACTTTCTGGGGAAGGCATTTGCTGTGGGTGGCTTGATGCCATTTATATCTTTTCCTTCTATTCGTTTGAAAGGACAGTAAACGTCGCAAAGTTTGACTCTCAGACTGTTCCAGTAAGAAATTGAATCTGGAATAAGTGGAGATTCCTGATGAACGTAGATATTCCTTCGAGTGTTGAGTCAAAGACAAAGCTTCAAGAAGGACTCTGGTTTTTCCTCTGGAATGTTGAGTCAAAGAAAAAGCTTCAGGAAGGTCTTTGCTATTTAAAATGCTCGGAAATATCTCAACACACACTTCTGCCCAGTGTTTTTGCTCTTGTAATCATGAGCTTGGACGGGCGCACATTTTTCTCCTCTTATGACGTCCAGTTGATTAGATTTTTCCAAACTTTTCGTTCACAGCTGGATCGTGGGCTTCGCATTGAGCAAGCAATGGGACAGCTCTCGGAAGTGCCTGATCATATATACAGTGGCCTGCGAATTTTGACGGATGTTTGTATCTATCATTTTGTCAGTCATGGAGGTTTTTTAGAAATCGATCTGCATTACTCTTTACTGCTGCCCTTGGAAGACTTGTTAGGCCTTTCATCTATTCACTCGAGTCCAAATGAGGCCAGACAATGTGGGTAAATTGCAATCGAAACTCTGTTACTTGAGCTTGACCTCCATTTCATAAAGCTCCCAATAGAGTTATATTATGGGCCCGGGCCTTTTTTATAAGAGGATTGGAATGCAAAGTTTTTCAGAGGCGTTCAAGTCCCCCAGCACATCCTGTGCTTTTTTCAGCAGTTTCTGAGTAACATTCAAGTTACTAGGCGGTGCTCTTGCTCTGATACACGCGTCTGGTATCAGTTCTCCGTTCCTGGAGCGTAGGATATCTCAATGACGACTTCAGGCAGACTTTGTCATTTATGGAAGTTTTGAAAAAATCGGTCTACATTACTCTTTACTGCTGTACTGGGGAGATATCAGGCTTTCTCGATTCACTCTGCTCAATTTTGATGGCAGGACAATGTGTATATACTACAATTAAAACCCTGTTAGTTATAATTCGGAAAGTGAATTTTGGAAGGAACTGCCTATTGAATGGGATTCTATGCCATAACCATTGCTATAAAAGGATTAATGCGAAAGGAAAATGAAAAGTTTTCAGAGCTGTCAAGGCGCTCAATATATCCTGTCCCTATTCAACAGCTTCTGGGTATCATCTGGTGCTAGACGGTTCTCTTGCCATACTACACATGTCTGGTAAGAACTGGCTGATCTTGAAGGGTAAATCCCCCAGGCATGTATAGAGAGATATGATCCTCGGACCTTGTGAGTGGTGGCTGCAGCACTTCGCATCAGTCCACCTCCCCACTAACCACTGTCGCACTCGGAGAGTCCGAAAGTCAACTTCAATGATACTACCAAGTTTGTGAACAGTAGTTGAGAAGTATTTATTATTAGTTCTTGTACATGCAGTAAAAAAAGACATCTGCACATTGAACCCGTTTGAGGTTATTGCGATTAAGCAATTAGTGATCCGTTAAAGGTTCGAAATGCACGATAACTACTTTAGTGAATTAAATTACTATTTAGTAAAACATCCGTTAGTCACGTAAGTGCAACTTCTTATGGCAGTGAGTTCATCACGAGATCCGGCAACTATCAAGTAGGAATGACAATATCCAACTTCTTCCTCTGGGCGATGTCATTCATTACCTGAAAACAAAGACCTTGAATTTCAGTATTTCACTTTGTTGGTGTAACTTTACCTCATTGACTGTTCTTCTACTGGTTTCTGGGCACATCCACATCAGAATCATGAAAATTGCTGTGGGAATAAGAAACAGGAGGAGTGCTTGCCCATGAATCTGAAAGAATAAAAGGATTTAATACCAAGTGAACAATCTCCTCCCTTCTCCCACATCACATCCCTCCCTACCTTCGTCCTTCATTGTGGATGAATCAAAATAACATGTAGAAGGATAGAGTGGGGTTGGGAGCCCGTGATGAGATCATGGCAAGGAAAGGGTATGTAGTGAGGGGAACTTTTGATCTGTGAATAGGGCTAGGTGGGAAAGGGGGTGTGGGATCAGACTAAGTAATTATTACTCGAACAAGTCAATAGTAATCACTGGAAGGGATCTGAGAGGCGATTCGGGGCTGCCCCCAGGAAGAAAGCCCCTCGTCCACATCGGGATAGCCAGGCTAGCCCCCGGAGTCAACCCAGCCCCCACGTCAGAGCCTGGCAAGCTACACGTTGGGTATCCGCTTGCCAAAAACGGTAACACAAATGGGCCTCATTCACCTGAGCCTGAGGGAACCTGCCCCCAACCCCCAATACAAGTTACGTGAAATTAACGACTTATAGGAGTTAACGTCAATGTAAGCTTTCGCTGGAGCTGCCCCGCAAATATTGCAAATCGTGCCGTCAGCCATCTAACAGTCTCTCTCCAGAAAGTTCCTTACACCCTGCTCTGCAGTTCTATGTTTAGCCGCCGTATTACTGTAGTACCGTAGCATCCACTCTATCAGTACTGAATTTTTCCCTTCGATGAAATGCTTTTTGATTATAATTTATAGTTTTTGAAGAACTTACCACATTAGCTAGAGGATAGAAAGCGAATTCGACGCCGATCTTCGTGAGCGCTTCAAACATAGTCAATATAGAGGTTGATTGGAGAAGTATGCTTCGGGGTACCAACTCGGCAGCATAGAAACGTGAAAGTGATCCAATTCCACACGCACTGATCAGCAGCACTGTCGTCAAGCCGACCAATGTAGCGATCTATACGGGAAAGTTGTCAGGGATCACTACACTGTAGTCACTTCATAAGAACCGTACCTTCCAACTGGGGCCGATATCTATTCCAACAATCATTAGTCCAAGTGAAATGAAACAAACAATAGTGGATATTATTAGTAGCGGCCGTCTACCAAAGCGGTCAACGAGCAAAACAGGAATGAGGGTGGTGGGCAGTCGAGCAATTCCTGAAAATTGCCCCTTAAAGAAAGATGATGGGATAACCGATTATCGCTCGTCTTCGATAACTTTGTAGGTTCTACCTCGGTACTTAATTTTACCTTAAAAGCAAAGCACATTCTTTGAATTAACTACCTATCATCAACGACTCGAACAGGGCAGCGTTGTGAGACCAACCAGCCATTGAGTAGAGAATGAACGTAGTGTACGCCCGGATACATCTTGCTCCAGTGAAAACATAGGCGATCTTAAATAGTGAGATTAGGAGAGATTTTAGGAAATGCCTGGAAAGCAGCCAAATGCCCTACCTTGACCATCACACCCAACCAGGCTCCATGTCGAATCACCTGAGACAGGGGATCGCGAGTCTTCCATGGCATAAAAAGTATGGCGATTGAGCTGTGTTCAGTTTGGACTACACCGAGGTCCGCCTAGAACAAATGCTCGATTACAAGGTCTTTTGTGAACTACAACCTTTGCGTACTGCCTAGATTAACTTCAGATTATTTGCTCTCTTGCACATCTTGTCGGGGTGAAAAGGTTCCATAGTTCAGGAAAAGGGATTATCCAACGCAAGTGTGGAAAAATGAGGCGGGATCCCTGAAGTCTAACCA